ATCAAGGATTCCTGGGAGACTGTCGAGAATGTTTGCTGCTCCGTAGACGACATTGGTGACAGCATGGGTGCATTCGAAGGTCTAGAAAGCCTCGACATCATCCCTCGCAAGGAAGTTGTCCTCGGTTCCTTTCTCCCAATGTACGGAGGGGGAGGCCAGCTCTCTACCCTGGCCTGTGCCATTGCTGCATTCCTCTGTCGTCGTTCTATTGCGGATTGGAAGAATGCAGGGATTGCGTAAGTTGCTTGCGGCTTCTCCTCTCTCGGCTCGGGTACGGTTTCGGCTATGACGGAGGTGCTCTGATCTAGCGCTTGTTGCGTTTGTGGACTTGGACCCGTTCCTACGCCGTACCTGCTGGATGCTGATGAGTCGCGGAAACCTGATGATCTGGGAGCTGGCTGACCAAGGGATCGCTGGATCGGGGGCGGAGGTGGAAGTGACACCATGGGTGGATTAGAAGTCAGCGGGGGAAGACCAGGGCCTTCAAATCTATCAGGTCGGTCCGGGCGAGGGGGAGCCGGTGGTTCGCCCATGATGAATTTCGCCTTTTCATTTCTACGGGCTTGACGACGACTCCTCCACCGCCTGAAAAGAAAGAAGCCTGCAAACAGGCCAAAAAAAGCTGATTGTCACCGTCGTATCAGTCACCGCTTTTACTTATGCTCATCCCACAGATACTTCAGGTCTCAACTCACCGAGTATCAGAAAAACGATCCCAGTTGTCCTACTGGCGTTGTTTGAGTTGGTACTAGCTTGTGTAGGCGGTGGTGATGCGGTTGTTACCGGGGCACCAGCCACTGATGAACTAGTAGTAGGTGATGAACTTGATGGCAGTGGAACAATGCTGGATGATAACGTCGATGTCTCTGCAGCAAGAGGTGTGCTAGATGTCGAGGCATCTGTCACTGGAGGAACTGGGGTTGAAGATAGAGCAACGCTCAACGTCGATGTCACCAAGGTTGTCGGCTGCGTCGAAGAGGTCGGCGGTGGCAGTGGTGGCAGTGGAAGAGGAGAAGAAGTTGGAAGACTCGCTGTCGATGAAGGAGGAGCGGGCGCACCATTCGGCAGACTCTTAGTAGTTACAGATGGTTGTGTTTGTGTCTGGGTCGCTGTTGCTGTGCTATGCTGCCCGGTTCTTGTTCTCGTGCATTTTTTCTCATCATCGTCATCATCGCAATCGTCGTCCTTCTCATCTGGCTCGTTCTCATTTTCGTTGTCTTGTCTCGCTTGGAGCACTTCTTTCGTACCCGTATCGCCTTTTCTTCTCCTTCTAAGTAACTATATCGTCCTGGTGAGCGGGAGACCTCTCAATAGGATCCAACTTAATGGTTCTTAGATTGAGAGAACACGAACCTTGACTATGGATGATGACATTATGTTAGTTAGTCAATACGGCCCAAAGTTGCAGCTTTCTTGGTGTGCTTCCACGATTGGCTTCTTCTAAATGACTGAATCTGTTGATGTCTCTTTGATCAATCGCGTCTGCGCCGAATCGCGATGTACTTGTTACAGGCCTGCTGCACGCAAAGTAGACCTAGAATCAGTCGGAGTGAAGAGCATAGAATTCTTTTCCCTTAGCAAGACATCGATGGCTTGGCCTCCTTAAAGCCCCTGGCGAACATCTTCTTGTCGTTTGCTCACAGCGTCAAACAGCGTAGAGCCCTGGTCAAATGTTTCAAAGCTCAGCTCTACCGGCTTCCGGGGCGTGAGGCGGACCACGGAAAGCTTGTTTTGGAGCCAAAAATAATCTGCCGTGAGTAATCCCCGCTCAATACTGCGCTCGTGTTAACGACAGCATCGGGTTGGAGAGTTGGGGTTGTTTCACTGCTCGGGACCCCGCATAGCTCCCGAGTCTTTTATTCGATGGCTACATAGCCCCTGAGGTCTCTCCTACAAGTTCCCGCGCCTGGCATTACTGTAGAATACGACATGACACGGGGACGGGTGTAACTCGGTCAGATGAAAGCCAGCTGAAGCTTGATTATGAGGCTCTCAGTGATTGATAAAGGATTTAAATGAATTGCCGATTGGGGTGAGACGAAGGCCTTTAGTGTACTGCGCCATGCTCCGAAAGGATCTGCGCATCCGTGAATCTATTTACTACTCTGCCTTACTCCTTCTGCATGCGTTCGTAAGCAACATAATAGCATTGTCAGCGACAATCAGCCTTGGTGCCGGACATACAATGTTGCGAAACATTTCCTTTTCTTCCTCTTTTCTTTTTCGTTCTTTTTTGCTTTTGTGGGCTTACACACAGTAAGAAGAGCCTATCCGGGCATAACATTCATCCATCTATGACTTTGTCTTATCAAGAGTTTCACGAGGTGATTTGGCCGTGGGTGAAACGCAACATGGAAGTCCACAAATCATCAACGTATCCACACCCTAATGCGAAAGCTGAAGAAGCCTCGAAGGCTCCCAGAAGTGAATACAATGGAGAGAAGTATGGCAGCAATACGTCTGAGGTTGACCAGCTTGATGGTATGTTCAATAGAAAAATACATGCAAAGCTTCAGTCTCGAGTTACGATGTCACCTATTAAAGAGCGCTACACGCTGGAGAGATGTATAATCTAGATTATAGAGCCATCATTCCAAGTCTCCATTGATGACTTGTCACATTTTTTTACAGAAAATATCAATGAAACAGATTGGGAAAAAAGTAGAGCAGATATAAATTCTACTGAGGTACAGGAATCCACAATCCGTTGCCTACCATGGTGTCTCAGCAGAAGATAGTTAATCCTTCCAACACAAAATGGAAAAAGAAAAAGAAACATGAGAATATACACGCAGCCTGACAACGCAACAAAAGAAAGTGACATGGCAGGACTATTCAATTTATTCTTTCCGTGAACTTGGCCCCAAAAGATGACATGATTCGAAGTCTTACATCGAGCCTAGTCCCATAGATGGTTGACCTCAAGGAAGGAGCCTAGTCATCCATGTCTGTTTGGCCGGGGACATCTACGAAATTTAGCATCATTCTGTTCATACGAGCAGTCGTCTCATATGTTTCACATACCGTCGTCATCATCATCCATGTTCATAACCGCTGGTGGTGGCGGCGGTGGATTGGGATTGGGAGGCGGGTTGGGTGGATTGGGTGGAGGGTTTGGCGGGTTCGGTGGTGGATTAGGTGGATTAGGTGGATTGGGAGGCGGATTAGGCGGATTGGGAGGCGGATTGGGAGGATTAGGCGGTGGTGGTGGAGTCTGTTGAGGACGGGGTTCTGTCTCGATGTTAGAGGATGGATATCTAGCTTCTTCAAGGAAACTCACGATCGTCATCATCGTCATCGTCATCTCTTTGAGGTGGCGGCGGCGGTGGCGGGTTGTTATCAGGCCGGGGCGGACCATTCGGTAGTCTTGGTGCTTTAGTACCAGTTAGCATTGAGGTCCATCATCAAATCCCAACAACGTTATTGCCACTCACGATCATCGTCATCATCATCCCGAATGAGGAGTCCAGCGTGAGGAGACAAGTTGTCCCGCTGCTTGAAGTGATGACCCGTGGCGGAGAGTTCATCTGACCTGACCATCAGAGGTTGGGGAGGCAAAGCAATAGCTGAGCCAAAGGACTCTATGAGGAGGACCCCAATGAGAGCCTCTTTCCACAGGTTGAGCATGGTGATATATATGTTTGCGGAAATCAGTTGGATATGTTTGAGGGGCAAGTCTGTTTGTGTAAGACACCAATGAGCCTGACTTATTAAGGTACGGAGAGAACCAGAATATTGATCCTCTTTATATCTATCAAAGATTGATGACATTAGAAGGAGCACGTTCTCTCATGGACAGGAGCGGCTGCGCATTTGCCATCATCAGCAACATTCCAGGTCATGCCCCGAAAATAGACCGGCTCCATCTTATCGAGGCATAACTTAAAACAGCATCTTTGGAGGGGCTCACTGCATGGAGACCTCTCAAAGTTCCCAAAATGACGCGAGACGGTTGAGGCTGTCCAGATCGACGAAGACCATGCGAAAGATGAGTGGACGATGCTCAGCCGCCAAGTCAAAATGCCCAGCTTGATGAGTTGACTAGCTCCGTCTGCGCCATCTCGCAGCGAGAGGCGCGCACGTCATGTGAGTCAGTTCTCGCTTGTGCTTCAGATCTCTGCGGTGGTCATTGGACGATGCAACTTTGGTGGCTGATGTGAAGCAAGGACAAGGATCAGACATCGTTTTACGGCCAAGGGGTTCCTACCATCGGCTAGCTTGTCTCATGTTCTTCGAGAACCGTTGATGCAGGAATAGCTACCTATCGCACTATGGCTTTCTCATCTGAGCATGTGTTGATTCTAGTTGGGACGATTGCGATACGCTGGCACCATCAATATCCAGAAAGCATCCTCAGCCGAGTTCCATGTCCCAGTTAAGATACGACAGTAGTCGGCGTCCCAGAATCCCGGTGCAGAAAATAATCAAAGTATCAACCAAGAATCATTCAACAAGATCGATTTCTATCATGATATCTGCCGAGCGATTCCAAGAGTTGTTCAGCCGGCAGATGCTGTTGTGTCTACAGGCTTTGTCCCGATCGATCCGAAAGCTGGGGTCTCCCTGAAACGCGACCAGTTGCTTGGTGGCCCCTCATTAGCTCGAAGAACTCTAAAGAGACTGGATCAAAGTGTAGCAAGAGTTTATTCTGGTGGGTTAGTGAGAAGTAGCTCTTCGGCCGCTCCCGACACGCAATGTGATGAGTTTCTGTCCGCATTTCCATGCCGTTGAGGGAACCTTGACCGCTAGCTCTTCTCCTAGCTTAGATCTTATCAAGTTTGATCGACAAATTTTCAAGCTTATTCGACTGTAGCAAATAACCTTGATCCCCATGCAGCTGATAAATTGATGATTGAGAGCTCAAAATACTACCCGAACAAAGTCTACGATCTATTCAGCAGTTGTCGCCCACCGACGTGACGCGTTGAGAGGCTCATCGCAGCTTCGATTCAACAGCACGGACAAAATTACGCTGAATCCTTTTCATGTATTCGGAATGCCGTGCGTACTTCATGCGGCGCAGCTTCTTGGCTGAACGTGATCGGCCGAATTAGAGCAGAGCAAGCTTAAACTTTCGAATAACGTCAACATTTCGCCTGTGAAAGCTAGATGAACAGACCTGAAAGCTACAAGGCTCGGCCCATTCTCAGCTGCTTTTACACCAGTTGGAGATTTTGCATCGGACGATGGCGAAAAGTCTGAGGCCAGATGGTCGTTTTCGCCACGCAGAATTTCTGATTCGGGCTAGGATTTGACACCTTGGCGTCTGTTCGTCTTTTAAACTCTCTGAACAATTTCACTGCATCAGCATGAACTTCGTGCAAAGTCAAAGCAGCTTCCCTCGTCATTTGAGGGCGAGGAAGGTCCAATGACTTATTTGCGCCTTGACGATGATGGCCGTGTTCTCATGTTGTGACTAGTACCGTAGCCTGCGACCCCGGCTGCTGACGTCTCTACTGTACAAGGTTTGCTTCACCCAGAAATTACAAAGAATTCTCATAGCTTTGCCTTGGCTTGATATCCACTATCTTCGCCACTGGGCTCGAACTGATCCGACCAGAGCAATATTTATCAATGTTTGAACAGGGTGTTCAGTAGCGGCAGCCCCATTCCTGGCTCGCAATAAATTGTGTTAACGTTCTCAGTCTGCCGACCAGGGCCACCATTCTTGACCTTCGAAGCGGCGTCAGGCAGGCCCTGTATCGGTCTAACTGCGATGATTCGAATCGCCAGGGTGAGACCAAGGGGCTGGAAGGGGTCCTCATATCCCTCTCTTTCTGCTGAAATCCTCATGTTCAGCCAGTTTGGAATCCATAGACGTCTGAGGTATGCATATTCTCCGTTTCTCAGCTCGGTGCTTAGGTCGAGAATGTCGGAATACCTGAGGTTATTGCTCGCGACGCTCACGATATTCTCAGGAAGGATGGATAGGAGAACGCTGTGCAGACACACGCCGCTGGGATAGTACGTCCCGCTGTACGGGTTGAGAAGGCCCGTGCCGTAAAGCAGGAGGTGTGAAGGGAGCTAGCGATAAGATGGCAGACTCTTCGTCAAGTTCCATGCTGCGTCGGAAGATGTGGGTGGTATGGAGTGTCTTTCTGTGTCTTAGCGACAAGACCGACATCTCCCTAGGCGTTCCCTCAAAGGGACAGGCCTCGATGCCTCATGCTTCGTCTTCATAGATGTCGTACACGATGTTTCTCTTTCTGTGAGAATCTATCAGAGCTGCCGAGTAATAAGAGAAGATCTCCAGGTTGCTACTCATGCTCAAGATACTTCTCATCTCTTTGTATCTCAGAAAAACATTCTGAGCGCCTAAGTCTTTGAGTTTCTTTAGCTTGGGTAATTTTCTTTCGACTGATTGGCATCGATCAAAGCAAAGCTCCTCTAAGTGTGGGCTTTACAAAGGCATCATCAGCTCTTTGGCCGTGATGGGGTCCAAAAATGACATGCCATCTTTGTGACCTCCACCCCAACTATTTTCGTCATCATCGTCGCTGTGTTTAATACGGAATCCCTTGAGGTTCGGCAAGGTCCATGCCTGACACTGTGCTTGTTCACGAAGCTGGGTAATGTGATCGAACAACGGCCGTCAGGCATCAATGTCGCTGACATTGAGCATTATCAACTTCACCAGCTCCATGTTGCGAGCTTTGAGAACAATAAGCTGAAACAAGGTGCGAACTGCTTCAGTACCCATGTTCTGGACAGACCGAGCCGAGTTGAACTTGTGACCGTCGGCTTCAACTTTGTGAAGACGAGCTTTGAGATCCGTAGGAATCGGATCATATGTTGAAGTGTCATCTTCCCCCCATCTGTAAGGTCCTCAGTCGCGATTCTCCATAATCTCTACTTCAAGAACCATATTGGCGAGGACTGAATTGTCGTTGATGGTGGCGGCAAAGTTGGCAAGGACCAAAAAGCGTTTGCTACAGAACTTGGCTCCGGGCCACCCGGGCCACGAGAAGGAGAGACAAAAATGTCTGTAGAGCACAGGTTGCGCCAGGGCCTTGAGATGCTTCGAGACCAAGCACACATTGGCAAGGAAAGCCTGAGCTTCACGATGATGCGTACCACTAGGCTGGAGGTTGGGACATGTGCTCTGAATGGTTTCAGAGATAGGAGGGCTGTAATGCTCACTGACAACGCCTCAATGATGAGTCTTTTTATCTCTGTCGGGAGTGCTGGGAATCGGTAAAAGGTTTGAATGGGCATCGGCGCCTGTCCAATATGCGGGGATGATTCGGATTGTTCGTTCATATTGAGGACTAGCTTGCTTGCTGCCGTAGAAGACGAGTTCTGGGGATGTCTGTGTCCTTCAATGTCAAAAATGGCATTTAAAACTCAGCTTCAGCGAAGGAGACCCACTACTTGGCAATAGCTTTAATCGAGAGTGTCTCTCCTCCCAGTGAGTTATTAGAAGAAGGCGGTAAGAGAGCGTGTTCCTGCGAGCGCAAATGCTTAACTCTCAAATTCAAACAAGAAATATCTTTAAAGAGAAGGTTAATGAAGTCAATTGAGGCAAATGTAGTCGAAATAAACAAGCGAATTTATCTACCCAACAGAAAACGCGCAGTGCCCTCCTCAACTAAGCCAAGGAAAGGCCAAAGGGCCAGAACGCTTTTCCTTGGGGAAGTACTAAAGATAATGGTGAACTAATGGTGAAATGGAAAATAGGCGGTAATAAAAGTGGTAGGTAGAATTGAAAGATCTTTGCTGGCCAGGAGGTGAAGTTGCGGAAGTTGGTGGGCACCTTGGCACTTGGACGCGGCGTCTCCTGAATACATAGAGGTGAACATGGCGTATTCCACCTACTAGGCTAGACGTGGACTTTCGATCAAACGTTAGTAAGGCACGTACCTGGGATAGGAACTACTACCCCATTTCAACTCAGCCTCTATATTTTGTAACCTGCATACTTCCGGGTATCTGATAAATCTGTGCTTCATTAGTCGATGCCTACTTACTCGCTGGTCCCTGATAATGTAAACACGCACACTACTACTATCATCGCGATTGCTTTAGGTAGCAGAAACCTTCCATCGCGGGACATTGCTACATTTTCAGACGTCGTGGGTGACTTTATGGTATTGCACCAGACTTGAAGGGTGTACTAGGTAATGAATACTTATGTGGGAAATATGTGTTACCCATAGACATCGTGCAGATGATTTGGGGCCACATGACTACCGGAAGTAGCTTGATAGCATACACCCGAACATCGCAATCGCGTCTCACTCCCTGAGGCACTTTAATAACACGCGTTTAAGGTAAAAGGTGAGCGTCGGGGGCGGGCTCGGAAGCACGGAGTCAAAGGCAGGGACATGAGAATCTGCCATCGGGTAATTGGTACATGAACTGGTGCCTAAGCGACCTTGTAATGGAAAATTCATGAAGTACTGCGAATTACTCAAAGCTACGGATTCCTTAGAGGGAGGTGGACTTCTGCATGAGTACAGTCTCCCTGGGTAGGGAATTGTTACATGTATGTTCAGTTTCTTTCGACATGCAGCCTAACGTTGACACTAGGATTTGCGAATTCATTCTCGGGGACGGCAATGAACCTAGGCTAGCTGTTTGACTTTATGCTTAGCTTTTACTTCCCTCACCTAGTCCAAAACGCGTTGCCTCCAGCATCGATGTCACAAGACGGCCCTTCGACATCTGGCCAGCAGTCTCCAATCTTTCCATCACTTTGCACAGCCAGGACCACGCTTCCCTCGCCATTCAAAGGGCTTCCGTCCCAGACGACAAAGTCGCCAAGGAAAGTGGTCTCGGTCAGTGACTCTCCGGATCCGTCTGGAGCGCGAAGATTGCCATTTAGCCCGAGTATCTCGTCAAAATTTGTTGACACCAGCTTGATGGCCTCTTTGTCTGTTAGTCCAGCGAACTTTGCCACCCACCGCGCTTCCTGGGCCAGGCCATGGACCTTGGAGTCGCCTCTAACGGCAAGGGCGACCAGAACACCAGCATCAATCAGTATCTGGGCAGGACTTGGTGAGAGAGGCGGGCCCGCCAGTGAGGATCTCTTCTCCCACCTGTCAGGCGCACCCCGATTTCCAGTCAGAATGACGGGGATCTGAGCTTCGCTCAACTCCTTTGCGACCTAGGAGTTATTTGCTTCAGCTTTTTGTTCCTCGAATGTACAGAATATGACTGACCAGAGGTGCTCCATGGCCACCAAAGATGACAAACTTCACGGTGGGAAACTCTCGTTTCAGGAGAACGATCTGCGAGACATCATCCTGCGACAAGTTAACTCTTATTCGGTATACCCTCCCAAATGCTGGAGAAAAGCCAACGAACCTCGTTAACTGTATATACAACGACTGGAAGAGAGCCATGGGAGGCGCGATAATACACACTACTTGGAGATTGGCCTCGACCCTGGCCCTCAAGAAGAATTTGACGAAGTCTCTCAACGCCGGAAGACACAGTCGAGGTATCATCGCCTACGCAAGTGTCAGTCAAACATGAGGACTTTTCAGAAGGCGCGTAGCCCACCTTTGGCTACTTGACCAATAGCGAAATGAAGAGCAACTTCGTCCTTCCAAATCCCGCCTCCAAGTATTGTTGCATTTTCACTTGTCCGCAAGCCGGTACTCACGCCCTGAAGAACACCGCCTCCAAAGATCGGAGCCGTGATCGCCCTTGTTACACCACCGATTCTTGCTCTGCCGAAGCCCCTTCCACCGAAGTGGACACCATACTTGGCACTATGCAAGTGTTTCTGGGCATCAAGTGCGTTCACCTTGGATCCTGGTGATCCGTCGCCTGTTGACGGCTCAGAGGAAATATCGAGAATGCCGAGATTGTTGCCGAAAGCAATCAGACCCGGAGTGACGTATCCGTTGGCTAGTTTAATCTCCACAGTCCCGTCCTGCTGAAGGGTAGATGAACACCTGGACTCGATATCGAGACAAATGATGCGACCGTTAGAAACCACCATGGCGAGGTCTTGCCCCTCTTCGACGGCCAAGGTGACCCCAGCAAGCTGATTCTCCATAAGAGAGCTCTTGATGCCTGTGAAAAGGATGTTCGCTCCCGGAGCCGTGGCTCGATTACAAACATCTCGCTTCTTTGTCTGCAAAATAAACGGGCGAGCCTCCGGCACAACATTCTTCGTTGATGAAACCTGGGTTTCCAATCGTTGGAGAGAATCTTTGTTGTCAAGAACCTCCCTGCCATCGACATACACTTGAACGGTTGTAGCACCAACCGAGAGAGGATGAGAATCCCAGACAACCAAGTCAGCATCATATCCAGGTCGTACGAAGCCAATTCGATGATCCTGGTAGATGGACTGTGCAGCAACAGAGGTCACAGACTGTAAAGCTTTGTTTTCGGACAAGCCGAATGAGTGGGAAACAGCTGCTTGGTACATGAGATACTTGGCATGATTGCTTTCACCAGTATGGTCCTACAACGAACACAAGCCGAATTGTCAATCAAAGATCATCAACTTCATACGGAAAACATAGTTACTGACCGACTTTAAAACGACGCGGATGCCATGATCATCGAGAATCTTGGGGCCTCGAAGGTTCGCGCCGTATGCTTCATGCTTGAAGAGCGAGTTCTCGGCAAAGGTGGCAATGGTGATATTTCTGGCCAGTGTAAGGGCGTCTTCCCGATTGCATAGGGCGATGGTACTCACTCTTCCTGTTGCTTGAGAAACTCGGGAACTTGCCAGGCTTCGAGAGCATGGTGGAAGGCCTGTGGATGAACCCCGAACTCGTGGAGCACATCGAGCATCCGCTCAAAATCTTCGGGTTCATAGCAGTGGATGTTGACGTTGAACTCGCCCTTGAGAAGAGCCACCGTTGCCTCTAGTCCCAAGTCTTCCGGCCGCTCACCTACTTTGTCTACAAATCTGGTAACTCGGCTTTGCTGCCATAAACCACTGGACTGGAGTTCCTGGGCACTTTGACACCAAGCTTCCTGCTTGGACTTGAGCTTCTGTGCCTTTTCTAAGTGTTGTCTCAGAAGCCAAACATTGCCGAGTCGGGTATGCCCATAGAGGTGCTTCGGGTTCTCGCCACACGCCATCTTAAGATATCTTTGACGACTCGATTCCGGAATACCATGCTCAAGTAGCAATTCTTTGACAATCGGTTCGCCATTTTCACCAGGGAGCGGTATATTCTTTACCAAGTACCCCTGGCCACCAATGATGTTGCCTGACCCCGGCAAATTCAGAGAGGACGTGACACCGCCGGACGCAATGATCTTAATCGCAGGATCATATGGTTTGAAGCCGTCAATCGCACGGACGAAAGGAGTGATGGGACCAAATCCAGGCTTCTCGTTTACGTCTGCGATCGCTGAGACCGAAGAAAAAGGGAGTTCCAAATGGTGAGAGTGGATGTCAACGAGGCCCGGGGTAACAAATTTCCCTTTGACATCATACACATCCGTATTGCTAGGAAAAGTCACCTCATCCTGAGTCTCAGACACTGACTTGATAACTCCCTGTTCAAACGAAATATCGACAGTCGCCGCATGGACCTTCTCTCCGTCGAACAGAGTTGCATTACGGAGCACAATGGCGCGCTGCTGTCCAGACTTTGAGTTCCAGCGCGGATTCGACCGATTCGGCGAGGACGACGTTCGACTCGCGCTTCGCGAGCTACTCTCGCCACACTTGCTTAGTCCTCTGGAGAATTGCTCTGAATGGCTGTACGAGGGCTTCTGAACAGCATTGCCGTAATGAGACAAGAACAGGAAAAAAGCGAAAAGTCCCGCGAGAGTAATTAGACGTCCTCGGCGTCTCCGAATGAAGAAGCGTTGAGTTGGTGGCTGCGGTTGATACGGAGGGGGACTTGCGTCGAGCAGCTCCTCGTTTTTGGCTCCCATCGTGACTTGACCTCTGATTCAATGATATGATGGGCCTCTGTACTCGAAGAAGATAGGTAGATAAAACTTGATTTGGTTCTAGTCAGACCTCGCATCGAAAACACTCTAATTCGTCATTGCAATCGCTTCTCCTCAAGCAGCTCGACTTGTTGTCATCGGGTGAGTTTGTCCCGACGTCGGGGTGGGTTGGGGATAAGGCTTGGCAGCTCTTTATTCCCAGAGGCGTCAACGTGGAGATAAAGCACGTCAGGCGGAGGCGACCCACTTGGGAACTCGACTGCATGATACGAGTAACCCTGTCCTGGTCATGGAGATTGAGATTACCACCTTTTTTATGGTATATTTGACATATGTTGATTGGGGACACCGTCGGTCTGGAAGTAGAGCGGCGTCGAGAACGAGATTCTTCCTCTCATTCAGGAAGTAAATTGCAACTGACAGATCCAGTGATCCTGCGTGAGATCTGCAACCGACTTAACCACCAGGTGTTACAGCTTGAGCTGTAGAGCTGAAGCCCAGGATCAACATCTACAATGTCATCTCCATAACACTCAAACTCCTTTTCTCGATCAGTTCTAGAACTGCGGTCTTTGCCCGACTACAAGCATGTAGTCGGGTCTATCCCGACAATTAGACCGGCTTCGAGTCCCGAACACACCAGTCAAGAGACCGAAAAAAGGATGGACATCTGCAACCTGTCACGCCTTTCCAAGTAGGTCTCGTTCGCCGTAGCCGTCATTCTGGTCTCTAATGGCGCCACAAGGTACCCGCCCACTTCCCGCCGACCTTTTCCCTGCAGAATCCCAGCAATCTGGTGTTCAACGGGTTGAACGGGACCTTACGGCGGTAGGTCGATACGGATTAAGCACACTGGTACGTAATCAATCTGCTTTCCCCGGAGCCGATTGTAAAAGCCGTTCAGATGTCAGCGCATTTAAAGTAGTGACGGAAACCGAGACCGATCATCTTATAAGATCCATAAGCATCTTAGGATATGGCGCAAGAGTCAGGAGTGCAATGGCATACTTCATTGGGTGTGGACCTCGGTAATGTGACGCCTTTGGGTCATTTCGTCCGAGATACCTTTTTTGTTGTACGCAAGATGTGAGGAAAAGTTACCTTACTTGAGCGCATGTCCGGCGAGTCCTTTGCGGAGTTGGTACACGGAGGATCTGGGACCACCCCACGGTCGAGATTCTGGAACGAACAACTTGTTGCGCCAAGCAGACCAACCGCGGGATTGATTGTATCCTGCAAACATCCATTTGTAGCTTAGAATACATCCAAACAACGCAAAGATCCTAGACGTTGACGCCACTGACAGCCGGCCCGGCTGAGGTCGAGGTTTTGCTCTGAATCAAGACACCGATAAAGATAAGATGATTCGGACTCTCTTTGCCTCTATCCTGTCGGCGGTTTTCCTGGAGCGACTTGTTCTCTTCTCGACCTCCAGCTTCGTGTACATGTACCTCAGGTAATTAGACTTTTGTCTAGCCACGGATCAATATGGGTACACTCAATGAGAAAACGGGAGACACCATCGACGTTGTCACACCCGCAGATGCAAACCTTCAGGTTTGACCTACTTTGATCGAATGCACAGATAAGTTAGTCTGACATTATCACAGAGGGAGAGTTTCGATGAAAAGGTTTCCATCGACGATGTAGCGAGGTACTTGCTTGGGTTCCACAAAGACCTTTACACCAGACCATGTTAAGTCACCGGGAAAGCTGACAATTCGTAGGCAACTCAATGCTACCCCTGAAGAAGTCCTCGAAGCCAGAGAGCTTGCGCGCTCCCTATCTCTCGAGGATGCCAAAGAGGTATGTAGTCTTCTGACATCATTGTTGTACCCAGGAAGCTTCAAACTCTAACTCATCTCAAAGTCGGCCGAGAGACTAGTTCAACAGCATGGCCTCGACCCCAACTTCCCGGCAGGAGCACTCGAGCGTCTGAAGGAATTCCTTACCAACGAAGATGTTTTCGCCAACCCAGATTCGCACAGTCGCGAGATCTCAGAGGCCAAGATCGAAGTTTCTCTGTTGACTTCCAACAGCCCCTACGCCGAGGTTCGCGCTGTAGTCGATCCGCATGACGATACTAGTATGCCAGTCGCCACGATCCGTGCCTGGACTATCGGTCTCTTTTTCGTCGTCTTCATCGCTTTCATCAACCAGCTCTTCAGCGTGCGTCAGCCTTCCATCACGTTGCGCGCGGAAGTCGTACAACTCCTCGCGTATCCAGTCGGCAAAGCTGCCGAAAAATGGCTTCCCGATGTTGGCTTCACGCTCTTTGGGGTTCGGCACAGTCTCAATCCTGGACCGTTTAACAAGAAAGAGCACATGCTTATTTCGATCATGGCAAGTGTTGGAAAGACTCTGCCGAGTTCCAGATACATCAGTGAGTTGTCCTCCACAGACACGTAATTCGGCCGCCCATTGCTAAGAAAACACTAGTCTTTACGCAGTGGATGGACCGTTACTTTGGCCAGAAATATGCCAAGTCTTTCACCTACCAGATTCTTCTGGCTCTTTCCACAAATCTGATGGGATTCGGACTGGCCGGTCTGTGTAGAAGGTTCTTGGTCTACCCATCTTTCTGCCTCTGGCCGGCCTCTCTGGTCACCATCGCTCTGAACAGCTCCTTGCACAATGGTATGATATTGATACTACACTAAACATACGATGAAGGCGATGCTAATGGCTCCCACAGAGGCAAATCATCCGGTACCCGGTCCTTTCAAGAAGATCTACAACATGTCGCGATACCGATTCTTCATGATTGCTTTCGCCGCTATGTTTGTGTGGTTCTGGTTCCCCGATTACATCTTCGGTGCACTTTCCCTGTTCAATTGGATCGCTTGGATTGCTCCCAACAACTTTACACTTACTGCCATTACCGGTGCCAATAAGGGTCTCGGCTTCAACCCCATCCCGACTTTTGACTGGAATGTTGCCACACACGTCGTTCAACCCCTTGTGGTCCCTTTCCGTGTTACCTTCAACACCTTCATCGGCGTGTTCCTGGGCGGGATCACAATCATCGGACTCTACTGGACCAATGCGTACAACACTGCCTACCTTCCTATCAACTCCAATCTGATGTACAATCACTTCGGTGGCTCATACAACGTTTCGAAAATCTTGGATGGCAGAGGGTGGCTCGATGAGGCCAGCTACCAGGCCTACTCCCCTGTGTACCTCGCAGCTAGTAGTATCACGATGTACTACTACTTCTTCGCCGTCTATGCCGCTACCGTGTCCTATGCCATCCTCTATCATCGCCACGATATTGCGCTTGGTTTCCGGAGTTTATGGCGCAGCTTTAAGAAAGAGGCGTCGACTGATTTCAAGGATGTTCATACAAGGCTGATGTCCAACTACCCTGAAGGTACGTCTGAAGCTGACTCATTTGACAGACAAATCAGTACTGAAATCCCTCTTAGTCCCTGAATGGTGGTATCTGATTCTCAATCTGGCTGCCATTGCTTTCGGTGTTGCGGCAGTTGCTGCATGGCCGACCGAGGTAAGTCAAACAAAACATAACGCTAGTGTCGTTGCTGCTGAGTGACTAACATTCTGCTAGACGAGTGTCGGTGTTGTGTTCTTCGGCATTGCACTTGCCCTGGTCTTTGTTATTCCAACAGGTATTATTTTCGCTACGACTGGAATGGAAGTCGAATTCAAGTAAGCAAACCTGGCTTGCCCATGTATCTGAGCAGTTCATATCAAGCTAACTTTGTATAGCGTCCTTGCGGAGTTCATTGGAGGCGCCTGGGAGCCGGGCAATGCCTTGGCCATGAACTTCTTCAAGTGCTTCGGGTAAGTGAATGAACCGCCATTGTGTTCCACCTTAGGTAGTATTCAGCAACTTACGATACTCGCAGTTATGTCACCACGGCTCATGCTCTTGACTTCGCCAATGACTTGAAGCTGGCTCACTACCTCAAGATCCCACAGAGGCACACCTTCGCCGCTCAGGTGGTTGCTGTCTTTGTCTCGGCATTTGTCTGCACTGGCGTTATGAACTTCCAGATCAGCAATATTCCAGATCTTTGCTCAACGTCAGTACACTGCGTAACATCATACTTGCTACATGCGGACGACTAACGTGCATGTCTTGCTGCAGAAACCAAAAAGACCGTTTCACTTGCCCTGGCGTAAACACCTACTTTACTGCTGCGGTGCTGTTCGGTAGTCTGGGTGCCCGAAAGGTGTTCGGATCAGGCGGGATCTATACAGCCCTCCTCTCAGCGTTCCCGGTCGGATTTGCACTTCCTTTCGTTTTCTACTACTTTCAGCGCAAATTTCCTCGCACACACTGGTTCGCCAAGATTCACCCAGTGATGATCCTCAGCGGTGGCATCAGCTGGTCTCCTGTAAGCTTTCCTAGTGATTGGTTCACACTCGTTTTTGTGGCTAATATCAAGTCAAGTACAACATTGCATACATGTGGCCGGCCGTCCTGCCAGGCTGGCTCAGCATGGTGTACCTCCGCCAGCGCTATCTTGCGTTCTGGTCAAAGTACAACTACGTCTTGTCGGCGGCTTTCTCGACTGCCATTGCCATTGCTGGCGTGATTATCTTCTTTGCCGTCAGCTATCACGGCTTGGAGATTAACTGGTGGGGCAACAACTCGGAGAGTGGATGCGAGTCTACGGCCTGCACGCTGTTGAAGCTGCCCAAAGGCGAATATTTTGGACCGCGCGTTGGAACTTACGCGGGTTAGCTGGTTAGCATTATGAAACCTTTCATCGACAAAATGCAAGCCGTCTGACGAGACGAGTTATTTGTAAGGGCTCATAGATACTGTGTAGCAAATCCTGGGTGCTACGACATGCTAGCGAAATAGAAGTGATTCTTCTCACTGCCCGAAGAGGACCGGATCATCAGTCGTTGACTCGGCCTCACATCACCAAGGAAGATACTTGGGTTGTAAACATACCACATCCTTCATCATTACGCGACCTGCGATATACGAGGCCCATGCGGCTTGCAGGCGGTGAGGCGTTGAGGTTCAACCACAATCAGGCCATGACTCAGTCAGCTCACCGAAAGCTTAGCCCTCTGGCGAGATTACACTTTGACCCTGGCCGTCAACCAGAACGGGGGACGATGAAACTCTATCGGCGACCGCCAATCAGCACAGTTAAATGGTAACCGACTACTGGTTTCTTGGAAAGTTAGTTTAAGCCATCGCATACCTCCTTTGACGTCAGCCCCTCTTCTCCTCGATTCACAACACCTCTAGGTCGAGTCGAGTTGAAAGGGTCCGGCCAAGGTGTCGCTCAGCTCCACCCTCCTCTTCTGCCGGCAGAAATATAGCAGCAGCTCGCATTCGATATCTCGCGTCGCGCGCGCCCTTGCCGCGCCTCCGAAAGCCCCATTGTTCGAGTCCGGCGTGTCCGGCGGACTGTAAGGTCTTATTGGAGTTCGTTGCCATGAGCTGTGGCCTTTCTCCACCCGGTACCTCCGGATCCAAGTCACGACCATCCGTCCAAGCTAAGAAGAGTTGCACACCTTGCAGGTAAGTCCGAACATTTCGTTGCGATATGACATAGGACGATACACGAAGGAACCGGACTGACCTGATCTCTAGGATCCATAGAGTCAAGTGTGATGAGACAAAGCCAGCTTGTCGACGGTGCAGCATCACAGGCAAGGTCTGTGATGGCTACGGCGGTGAGGATGGCGGCTCAGCGGCCCGCAGACCCTCACTGCCACTTCTCCAGACCTCATCAGCATCCCCATCGCGTTGCGATACACATGCGGGCTCAGCAGAGCTGAGCTGTACAGATAAACTTCACTTTGAGTGGTTCGTGAGCCGGACCACGAACCAACTGCCTGGCGTCTTCAACTCGCCGTTCTGGAAGACCTTGGTGCTTCAGGCTAGCTCGACCGAGCCTGCTATCCTCTATGCTATCCTCGCTCTGGGTGCCGCCCACGAGACATCAAATACCGACGCATGCATCGTCAAACGGGAGCCGCCAAGCCCCGAGACAGCGGATCCGCAGGAACACCTCAGCCTCCAATACTACAACAAGTCCATATACCACCTTCAGAAGCATCTACGCACACCAAGCACAGAATCAATACGCGTCGTTCTAGTTGTCTGCACCGTCTACATATGCATGGAGTTCATGCAGAAGCGATATAAGACGGGATTCCTTCACTTCAGACACAGTCTTCAGCTTCTGGGAAGCTTATTGAAATCTTCTGCCCCGGCATCATCATGCGACCCAGCAGATGATTGGTTCCTCGACGTCATACCTCGACTAGATATTCAAGCGACCCTTCTTACAAATGAGTTCTACCAAGGGGCCGGCACGAAACACACCTCGTCAATATGGCCGCCGTTGCCACCGCTGTTCCAATCAGTTCGGGACGCTAGCCAAAGCCTCGACGGCCTCTTGTTTAGAGCGTACCAACTACAGAAAGACGGTGCCGCGGCGGGACCAGCAGAAGATGCAGCCGACATCTTTGAGCTGCTCGCTACACAGCAGACCCTTCGGAACGAGCTGGAATCCTGGATTCAAGCCTTTGACGTCTTCAAAGCCAGGACGTGGAACTTCGTGACAGACCGAGAGAGGATCGCCTACGGGCCGCTACCGATTTATCACACCATGGCCTACATCATCACCAACACATCTCTCAATCCCGGGAATGAGCTTATCTTTGACCTATATACGAGTCACTTTGCGTCGGTTGTAGCTTCGGCGAGGCAGCTTCTTGAGGCGACATCATCTGCAACCATGCCGACGCCTGCTGCTGAATCGTCTCCAGAGGATTACACGCAACAAACTGAGCATGCCTCAGACACGGGATTGGTTCCGCCGTTATTCTTCACAGCTGTCAAGTGTCGCGTGCCCAGGATCAGGCGTCAGGCATTGGAACTTCTGCTAGCATCTCAACGGCAAGAAGGAATCTGGGATGCAATATTATCCGCGCGGATAGCGAAAGAAGTGATGGTCCTCGAGGAGCGGGGTCTCTATGAAGGCGATATTGACGAGAAGAGGGCTTCCCCAGATTTTGTGATCCCAGTTCTACCGGGGCCGCCCAGGATACACAAGCTTTGGATCGAGGTGCCAGAGGAGCCACGCGGAGATATTCTGCTTAGCATCCAGAGGATATTCCCCGACGGCAAACGGGAGACCTTGGGAAGGAGGTTCCACGCGGAGTATGATTATTGGACTTCTGTCCCCGTAACACTACGCGTCGCTAAGGTCACTGAGCAGGCCAAGTAGGGAAGGCCGTGATCCAAAGCGGTCTGGAGAGAAGAGTTGCGAATACCCTTTGTATTATTATCAACCCAATGCGATCAGTGCCTCTTCTTAGACGGATACTTTTTAGCGCATATCTGCGAACGGTTTTGGTCTGTCATCTGCATCTCCTGCCTGGCCCATGCCTTGGTGGGAGGCCATCTCATATCTGACATTCATGCTGGTAGCGGAAATTTCATACAAGCCATGCCCCTCAACCGGCAGCTCTGGCTGCCATCCTGGAGTTTGCGCATAGTGATACTGTTGTTGCTGGCTCCCATCAAGACTGTGCTTCTGATCCTGTGAGATCGGGGTTCTCCTCGCTTGTCGTCGATGCCACAAAAGCCATCCAATCATGCCCATGCCTAGCACTGTAGCGAAAGTAACTCCAACCGCAATGCCTGCTGCAGCCCCCGATGATAAGCCTTCCTTTTCCGTCGTCGGCATTGGTGTTGCTACAGAGGTATTGCTTGGTTGAGGTGTTACTTGAGCTTCGGTGATGTTGAAATAGTGGCATGTGACGCCCCAGTTTGCCGGTTCTTTGCCTGGCCCGAGTAATTCGAAGAAGTAGAGGTTGCTGAGTTTTGGATTAGGGAAGTCTTTTATGGAGACTTCCCAGTTCATTGACTTTGCAGAGGTGCTCGCTACAGCCAGGCAATCAATGTCAGCCATGGCAGCTCTCCCTGCTGTAGGCTTTTCGTCGCCCATTTGCATTCAGGCTTCGGAAGATCATGCAACTCACCCACGATATCGATGTAGTCTAGAGTGCTTCCGCCTCCTACCGATTCTTGCCATAATATCAACCTGGCAGAGTCGTAGTCCATGTCCCAGTGGAGATCTATAACGTCTCCTATCGTGTAAACGTTGTTGTCTCGGTAGTCGTAGGCGAGACCTGGACCAGGTGGCCGGCGGAAACGGTTTTCGGCAGTGGCAAATGCTGTGAAGAACAAATAGAAAAAGAAACACAGGAGAGCCATGGTAGTAAGCGGAAAGGTTCTTGGCGGAAACGACTGCTGTGATGCGTCACGCCCTCGACGATTCACTACGACAATGAGACTCAACTTTGAACTAGCTTCAGGTCGAACGGCGGGAGGATGAGACATCCGGGACCTAGCAACATTTATCAAGACCATTCGCCAACGCAGAATCACGAAGGATGTTTGACCCTGCTACCCAAAATAAGCGCTAACTATGCGCGACTAGGCGGCTACAATGAGATCCTACAGCCCCGACTACTACCCTGTACGAAGGATCTGCCCCCAAGCAATGCCATTGGCAAGACCTATCGCCCGCTAGCTGAGATGCGAGGCAGCAGCGTGCGGTCTCCCGAATTAGATGGAATTCAGCCGCGCAGTCGATCTTTTTCGATTGGACACCAAGCGAGGAGGTTGAAAAGATATTCAAACAATCGAAGATCCATGTTCCTTTCGAACCTCGATCCGATTGTCGCGTGCTCCACTCTAGATAGCAGTTGCTTGGCCATGGGAAGATGCAATGAATGGCCCATGAATGGTAAGATCGGGATCTCCACGTCAACAGGTTAAGATTCTGACCAAGCTTAATTAGACCATTTTCCCCATAACCTATCACTTTTCACGGGGACCGAGTGCTTGCAGTGCCTTGCTCAACGCCAGTTAATGCGGACTTTTGCGCGGCGATGGTGAATTAGGCTGCTCGATTCGCCGAATCTCGCTTAGACTGCGCCTCTCTTGGCCCTCACCGAGCCTCGACCATATCAGTCGGAAACTTGAGAAGATTCACTCGAAATGCCTTTGCCTGGTTGTCGTGCTGTCTTGTGGAGCCCGGCTCGCTGGCTGTCTGGCCTAGAGTTTTCTTGCCGACGACGCGCCAGAAGAGCAGTAGCAAAAACTTTTATTCTTTCACGTGCGAAGTAGTCTATCTAATCATTCGAAGTATTCAGCAAGTCCGGCAGCCTACGTCCACACTGGTGTTACACAGGGTTACCAAACTTATCCGTCTTCTTTGCCTTGGAGGTGAAGCATTCGTCATCTGGCCCACAGCCCTGCCAGTTGAAAGACTCCCCAGGCGAGAAGCATGCACTGTCGCAGTTCTGCTTTTTGCAAAGCCCATGTGCCTCATCACCCCCAACCCACCCATCATCTTTGGCTCCGTTGACTGTTCCTTCTATCGCATGCCACTATTGCTCATCAGTAACCTAAGCAACCTAATGAAACATCATTCGAAGGGAGAAAAGGTGACCACGTACATAAGAGCCGCTGTATGGCGCGCCGTGAAGCTCATCAGAAAACCAATTGCCTCCAGCTGGGAGATTTTTGTCAGAGACGATAAAGTTTAAATAACGTGAATACGAAGCGTCTCACCATAAACGAATCGTCCGTCGTACGCGTTGACGACTGCTTTTGTTGCATCGTCATTGATCTGGACACCGACAAGACCCTGGTCGCTAATACAGGCACAAAGGCGGTGCTTATCGGCGCTGACAGGCGCCACCCTGGGATCAATTAGCTCTCAACTTCACTCGCACTCGAAATGCCAGCCTACATCAGCAAGCCCAGCAGGCAAAGATCTTTCAACAACATGATGGTCTTGAGGTGCTGGAATTATATTTCAGGTCGATTAGGTGCAATGTAAAATAGTCTGTATGATAGAAGCTGTGAACGGGAATGTGCGATAAAGTCTAACCGCTGATTGTTTCGAGAAAACTCGGAAGGTCATTTGTTTTATATATACTCCTTAGATATACTCTTACAAGCCTTGCGTGTTCCCTCAATGGCAGATGGCTGACAAGATCTCGGCTTCCCCGACCTGTGAAGGTGCGGAAGCTCGCTTTCGTTAAGGCCTCAACATGAGGATACATTCCTAGAATGCAGATCATGAAAGATGGGTTTTTTTTCCCCCTTTTTTTCACTCCTCAAGTGCTCGAGTTAGTAATCCAAACTCTGTTTGATTAAAGGGTGTACACGGTTTTTGAGCCTCCAGGCACCGTACTCCTGAATTTTTGATAGGGAAAAACCTCATTCCGTTCCTCGCAAGATGAAAGGGGCCTGCCTCGAGTCATATTCTTTCCAGGAAGTCTGGGGAACAATTTATATGGACCAAAGACCGCTGCCACTCTGCAACGGCCTTGTCCGGGAAATTGGGCCTACTCTTTGGGCATGACTAGCGCCACGGCATGGCGCATGGATGATCTAAAAACAACCTTATCAGTGTGCTGGAAATGTCACTCTATCTAAATCGGACTGCTACCTACTACCTAGATGTACTTAGTACTCGCTTAGTCTTTGCCCTCTGCCTTCAATATCTCGAAAGATTGGTTGCTTCCAGACATAGTCTGTTCTTCCCAGTATCTGATCGATAGGAACCAATGACTACAAAGCATTTCTTCTGTCTTGCCATCAGATTATGGATACTCCGGGTCTTATTCGTGTGATCAATACTCTGTCGCGGGATCGGCTGAATCTATTGGTTCTCTACAGTTGGCAGGATGAAGCCTCTCATTGCCCGCGAGAGCAAGATGAAACTAACTGGGATTCCTGGCTCTTCGACTATTTTGATTCAGACCATCCTCATCCCAGGTGGATACCCTGTAAAAGGCGCAACCAAACTACGAGACAAGAAAAGATACTCAAGTCTTCTTGGCGAAAAACTAAGCTCGAGTGATTATGGCTTGAATGGCAGGCCTGCGAATGGCAAGCCGCATGTGCCTGCTTAGTGGACCAGCCTTTTCATATGAACATCTTTGGCTAACTCTTCACTTCCTGACTCGCCCAAGCTCTCGGCTTTGGGACCATTCCCATGACGTAGGCATGAGCGAATGTCAGCGGTGATAAAGTGTTTTGACAGCGACTGTAGAATTACCGACTACTCTGACAAATTCGATAAAGAATGCACGCTCTATGGTTGCAGGAATCAACCCGACGATATATTACACAAGGATAGAAGCTATGATGCTGTGGAGCATTTATTTCAGTGACTTCCTGATGAAGCTCTCGCGACATTTGTTCTGACTTCTTAACACTGTCAGTCATTGCTCCCTTCAGAATCAACGGTTGCCAGTGGTGTGCCTCCGTCTAAGTCGTCATAACGGCAGAATTGCCATAGCTGATTTCTGCATGTGTTCTACTGATCAGTGGTATCCAGAAGTCAGATGACACGTATTTCAGGCGAACCACCACTGGAACATAAACAGGTGTTTTTTTGGTAAATCCCGAGGGATTCAAAGGTTTTACAACCAGACTACAATCCCGCTCATACACACACAATAAACCTATTTGTTTCGGCAGGGTACTTTTGGTGAAGTGGTAAGCAGTCAGGTAAAGTACCTATACGAGCAACCTGACGTCAGTAGGGCGGGATATGTTCGCTGAGAAAAGAAGGTTGGTATGAGCTTCTTATGAAAGAGGGGGGTTCTGCCTGTTTGAGATGAAGCAAGGGGCGCAACTTTGTTGATGCAATAAAGTCAGCAAACTCTTTGAGGTTGTACAACACTCATATACCCTGAGCGTTCCTCTGGACAGCAATCATTCACCGTTTGTTCTCATTAGACAGTAAAGCTCATTCACAGTTGCGCCACTAGGCTTGGAGAAAGTACCCAGTGTGGGAAAAAGGATTCCCGAGGTGGTGAAGTGATTATTCCCAATATTCACTGTCACACGTGACACCAACCATATTCCGGATCTTTTCTTGAGTCTGCTTTCTCATATGCTCCTTTCCACTACTGGTAGTCTTTAATATTCCTTAAGGTACGTCGCTGTCTGAGGTCCAAATAGGGCGTTTGTTTAAAGGTCGTCCGGACGTTATTTGATAAACGTGTAGCCCAGCCATTTCCTGCCACTTTTGTCCGCGAAACACACCTCTTGCCTCTCACATCGGCCTTTCTGTTCTCCTTCATTGAAGAAAACGCATATCTTCCCTAAAAACCTCAATTCTCACTCACCCTTACAACCACCCACATTGAGATCACCGAAGAAGTCGAGGAAAATTCGCCAAGATGAGGGTCTCGCGCATTGTCTTGCAGGCAACCCTCACCTTGGGTATGTTTGCCCTGGCTAGTTTCGCCCTGGCCGGAGACCTGTCCATCATCAAGGCTGAGATATCCCCGAACATTCCCATCGAGACCGACCTCACCACTCGTGATGACGCGATCCCTCCTTACGACTGCGACGACATTGTCAAGCGCGGCATCACCCCTCAGATCGACTGCTCCTACTCCGAAGAGAACTGCGGCTTCCAGGACGACATTGAATACATCATCCGCATCAAGCCTATTGGCAAGGTCAGCACCCACTGGTGCGGCATGATGCGGGCGCAAGTTGCAAAGGAGACCAATTCCTACATCGAGGAGATTGTGATGAAGAAGTGCGACCGCACTTACGAGGCCAACGACAATGGCAATGGCATGTGGCTTGTCCTCAACATTCAGCACATCCACTTTCTCGGTGATCGGCGCCCTGATGTCGAGCGGGCTATCAGAAACACCATGTGCCCTGGTGGTCCGAAGCTAGACTATTGGGTCAATGAGGGGTACACATCTCTTCCCCTTTCATGCCTCCGCGCAACCTTCTTCGAGTACGTTGCTAACTTGCTTTTATCACTAGCTGCTACCGTTCCAGCATCTGCAGCAAGCGCTACTGGAGTGTGAATAAGCGCCGCAGCGTCCCTGAGCCCTTCGAGCAGATCTCTCCGCCCAAGGGACGGGATGTACTCGAGATCCGCAACGAGATCGAGCACCCTGGCAACACCCTCATCGCTACCAATGTTGTCGCCACCCCTTAGTCGAATACGTTCGCCATGACCACGCAGATTTCCATGGCTATCATCAACCCTGTTACCGAAAGTTTCACTTCCGTCTTGCTCGTCAACGACACTCACGCCGGCCTCGAGGCTCCCCGACACCACGCTAACAATGCCACTACGCGTGGCCTTGACCTCGAAATCAAATATGGAGGATGCTATCAGGTAGACAGGGTCACTAAGGGATTATCTTCGTCTTGAATTAACTCAAAGTCATGGGATTGGAGAAGCAGCAATGCCATTTCCTGGCTTCCGCCACAGTCTAGGGTTTCTTGTGGAGTGCTAGCGGGTACCCACGTCGTGGAAAGACAGTGTGAGGACTCTGGCTATGTTATGACAGTGCAGCTAGATAGGAATACATATCGGCTCCCATCGCGGTATCATCATTTAGTGCACCAACTTAATCTTGAACTGGTACTTTACGAAGCTTTCCGTGCCATGCTTTACCGAGTGCTATTGAAGGGTGGCCACTCATGTAGAAGGAAACATGGAAAAAGCATGTAGGTAGTCGTCGAGCCAGTCGACAAGGGCTCTCTGTTGAAGCCTCTCAGCCGCTGGCACTCCTTGGGCTGTCGGGCGATGACTCTGCGATACAGAAGTAAGTCCTCTCCACGATTAAGGGGAGGAGCATGCATGTCTCTATGATTACCTGGGTCATGGAGCGAGTCCTATGGCTTGCCCCGGTCGGGACCTCGTCTCCAATAGAAAAAGCTAAGGGAGCCTCGTCCATGTTCTTAGTTGTTTTTCTCCTTTTGCTCTCCAATTACCGCCCCGGAACGGCAGTGGTAGTTTTATCTTGGGGGAGGGGAGGGGGGGGGGGGAGCCAAAGTACTACCAAGAGACGGCAAGATTTCTTCACTCTCAACAATCGCCTTCAAACGCCTGTTGTAAATGCCGGTGTGCCAGTTCACTCTGCCTAGGGGCTCTAGTAGTCTGATACAGACTTCAAACCCACGTTTAGCAAGCTCTATACTTACAGCATCTTCACAGAAGTGCTGGAGGGCCAGCTGAACCACAATAGGGGTAAAAGTGACAAATACCTTAACTTCCTGAGAACCGCGACTCTCCAAATCAGCCTTCGCCAACTGCACTCTTCCGGATATTCCATTAAGTCAATAAACGACCGTGGTCCTCTTGAGCCTAGCCAAAGGTTTTTATTGAAGGGCGGGTAAAGCACAGGGGCTCTTCGGCAGCATATGAACATCTGCAGACCGTACGACGTCTCAATAAACCTTGGCCGATTTCGAGCTGCTCCGGACTCGAGTGTCGGAATCCGTGCTCACCCGGCTATGCGTCTCTGGGTAGTAGCATTGCGGGACTCAACCTAGACGGAAATCGTTTGAATAAGAGGAGACTTCGTGGTCGCGCAGACTCCCGCACAAGGCAAGTCCTCGCGAGCTCCCAAATACGTCAATGTGAACACTCCCACCGGCCCGGTGAACGTTTCCAAACCCAATATCAGAAAGGTTTTTCTGCATTCGGCAGGCCGAGGCTGCAGTGCCCAGCTTTTATCTACCCGAGGAGGTTCTCAGTGCGTTGTATCTCACCCTCCTAGGTCAACTGGAAACTTCAATATCACAAGTACGAGTCTTGAACTCTTGGAAGAACTACATCAAAAATAGAAAACATCATATGAACGGCTTGGCAAGAAGAATATACAGTGAATAGAAGATCAATTCCCCAGGAACGCTCACAACACCCCACCCACTCTAAAAAGGAGAAAAAAAGGTTGCTTCCCATCCATCTTCCCTCCGCCCGTATGTTGACGCAAAAGTGACCCAGCCTTTCGAAGTAGGAACCCTCAATCATTGCCAGCGGATTCCAGCCCGGTCGGGAGAAGAGAAGAAGTCCTTGTCTCTGACAAGAAGCCAACCAAAAAAAAACAGAAGAGAAGTAAGTCACAAGACTTTACATCCTCGGAGCCTTCTTCGACTTGCTTCCCCCCGTAGAAAACGGCGCCAAGGGCGGCACGCTCTCCTTAGCCTTTTGCCTCGTTGTCAGATCACCGCTCCTCTTCTCCCCTTTACTCTTTGTCGAGAACGGCGCCAGCGGCGGGACCTCCTCTTCACCCCCCTTCTTCTTGCGCGCCTCGATCAGCGCCTCGCGCTTCCTCGAGTCGGTGCCGAACGGGTTCAGGGGCGGAGGCGGGTCTTTCTTGCCAGGCTTATCGGCGCGTCGGGCGACGGCGGCCATGGCTTCCTCGTGGGCGAGTCCGGAGTGGAAGCGGATCGGGGAGCGCTTGATTTGCGGGACGACTGGTTTTCCGGCGTCTTCGCGCTTGATGAAGCTTACGACGCCGCCGATTGCGTCTGAGGCGCGGGCTTGGAGGCTTGCGATGGGGCTGGGAAGTGTTTGTTAATTGAGGAGCTATGTGGAAGAGTAAGTTGTGAAGAGGCTTACCCAGACTCAACGGGCACGGCACCAACGCCCGCAACCGCGGCGGCGACGACGGCAACAGCAGAGAACTTCATGTTGTCTAATTCCAACGCTTCGTATCTTCGTGTTCGTAGTGTAAACCTTGTAACTTGTTCCCGCCGTAGTGAAATGTGTGTTCGAGCCGGCGATGACGTTGAGTTGTATAGGATAGTTGTAAGTGTGTATAATTTGAGAGGAAATGATCGAGGCTTGGTCTATTCGATAGTCTGATAATAAAAAGTAAAAAGTTGTAGTTGTCAAGGAAAAGTGATCGTCCGAATTCAGACGCAGCAACCCAAAGAAAAAGGGTGCGGAAGAAAGACCGGACGTCAACGACTCTTTTATCTATCTCTTCTCAACCACGCGTCCGGTCCCAGACCACCGCCTCCTTTCCCCATATTCTTCTACTCTCCACATGAGAAATCCAGACATCCCGGACAATTGCGTGAGCTGACAGGCAGCTTACAACACATCCTTGTCCGTCAACACCGGCCACTCGGCAGCCCCACGGCCTTGCCTCGCATCACAACGTGGCGCGCCCGCTCGTTGCCGCCCCCTTGCTCTGGTATCACATTCACATCTTGCCCTACCCAACTACCTCATATTACACCTCGGCGCGACGATCGTATAAGAAAGAGTCCGGGGATAATGGCTGTAAGTCTTGTACGCAATAAGCAGCGCACATCTAACTTCCACAAGCGCGTTTCCACAGTTTCAGCCCGCGACAATCCACACGAACCACGGGCCAACATCCGGTACAGACGGCGGGGACTTGCTCTCGGGGTTTTCTCTTTCACCTCAAATCGTCTCTATCTAGGGACTATCTGCTCGGTGAGTTGAATTCCCCGCCAGTCCACTCGGTTTCCCCCTCCATCCCACCGGGCTGATCTTTGATTGTAGCCTTGAACTTGGGCAGACTTTTCAGGCTGCTCTTGTTCCCCAACTCTGCCCAATACCACGCGCGCGAATACTGGCTTTCCATTTTCAGCTGATGTCGTCTCGTCTCGTCTCATCTTTTCTGCCTTTCCAGCTCCAATCAACTCACCTTCACAAGACAAGGTCAAGCTGCTCAATTCCGCTCGACATCACCCGACCATCCGGTCATCCCGACTCAAGATTCGACGGCTCTCAGCTGCTGCTCGACTCGCGACGTCTTATCCAGAATCACTCGCCATGCGGTTGTCGCAAAACAGCACACAGCCACCGCCCTTCTCAACATGATTCAGTTTTCCTCCCTTCTGTTCCCTCCACGACTCGCAAAGTGAAGCGTTGCCTTTCTTGGCAGAGTCCATTCCATTCTCTCTGCACCTGGCCACTGCTCTGTCCAAAAACAGCAACATGGAAAATCGGTACTAGAAGAACTCCCTCCATCTCTCAGACCATCATCAGTCCGACCACTTCATCTGAAGCGATGCCGTAATCCGGTGCTCCCGAGCCTCTGCGCCATCCACCAGAGTGCTTAGCAACTTCTACTTCCTCCCATCTCTTCTTTTATCCGCCATTTTTCCACCAGCCTTCTTTCTCACTGACCCCTTATCTTATCCGAGTTAAACGAAGACATCGGGCTGTTTCGATAAACTCTGCCCTCTGCCTCAATGACGAACGGTGTGTCACAAACCGAAATTGAAACCTCAACTCTCTTTATTTGACAATCGACGGATCGAGATCTGTTGCTCTCAGCGCCTGCGGAAAGTAAAGCTCGATCCGAACTCACGTATCCGAGCGCGCGTATTCCTCCCAAGAAGCCAAGAAAGCAAAAAGTCCTCAAAACCGAGAAACCTCACCAAACCGAGTCGTGCTGTGACAGGATAGACCAGAGTCTGTGTTTCTCAACTCTTGCTGCGCCTACTTCCACATCGAACGAGGATCAAGACCTCAGACCTTATACAGTAGTAGACCTCAGACGGTGTATAGACACCCCTGCCGTGATCCCCCAACTCATCCAATCCTTCCAGAATATTCGCGAATCCGACTTGACGTGCCCAGCCAAATCCAAGAACTCCCAAGAACCCTCTTCAACCAGCAATGTCCCCGGTCTCGATCTTCCAACAACCATACAACCTCACGAACGCCCAGCTCAAGCCCAAAGCCCTCTTCCACCGTCATCTAGTGTAAAACCGGGCTCGGCACCAATAGGCCGGCCATACCCAAGAAAAAAAGTCCCCGCGCAAAGACAGCCACACCACCCAACACCCCGGATCCCTGTCCCCGCCTCTCGATGCATTAGCACACGTCAGCCGTCGATCATCAGCCTGGCTCCCCTCGGCAGATCCAGCAGCATGAACGGCGGCATAGCGGCTCCATTTTGGGTTCCTTGGTGCCGTTGCAGGTCTTTCATCTAGACAACCTCCTCCCCTCTTGCATAACAAGTGCCTCACCAACTTCACACATTGAGCCCACCATGGCAGGCCGAATCACATCGTCAAAATCATGAGGTTGTGGTAGCATTGGGAAGTCTATTCTTCATTCCTCGTGAGCGGTCCGCCGCTAGAAGGAGCCCACCAAGCGCCAAGCAATGCGACGACTAGACACAGGAACCAGAGGCGCAAGGAATACTACGTACAAGAAAGGACAATTTGGTCCGGTATATATAGAGAAGCTTCGCCCCCGGTCCCTGGCCCGATGTTGCATTCCGAGGACTCACGCATAGCGGACCTCGTTGAAGAGCGCCGCGCGCACCTGGATCAGGGCTGCGAGCTCAAACAGGAACGACTGTAGCACAATGACATTGGTGATGACATGCGACACCGTAGCTTTCCTCTCCTCCTTCTCCGTGTCCCTCTTCGGCGTACTTGCTCCGGCAGTCTCACCGCTAGGTGTTCCCGGCACAGCATCCTGTTCTGGCTTTTCGCCGTCCCGGTCTGCCTCTTGCTGGTCGTCTCCGCCCTCGTTATCATCGTCTTTCGGGGGCGGCATGTGTAACGTGGGCTTCTTCTTCCCAAGGTCCAGTGGGATAGGCTCAACCTTGCCGGGGATGCCAACCTTTCGCGCGAGAATGCTCTGATCTATAGCTGCAAACGCCGCGGCCTGGCTGGCCACCGGATCTCGAGGTGTGTGCGACGAACCAGCCTCATCTGCTGCACTTCGACCAGAGCTATCGTAGCCACCAGGCGTGTCTTTGGGCGGGGGAACAGGCCGAGACGTTGGCGTGGAGAATCCATACCCACCAGACATAACACCTGGTGCCGGGCTACCCGTTCCGGAACTTCGGCTGTTCTTCCTCCCCCGTGGGCTTCCAGTACGGCTGGGCGTGCTCAGCTCCGACACCAGGCGCTGAGCAAACCGTTCGAGACCCGATGGCCGCGCTGGCGATCCACTGCGGGTTGCGTCGTCTAGACTTGAACGTTCCGGGGTGTGCGTTGAACTATGCCTCTGCGGTGTTGGCTTGCGGGGTGGCAACGGCGGACCAGGTGGGCGGGGCTGGTCTGCAGTCTGGAACGCCTCTCTTCTACCTTGCAGAAGATCTTCGAAGCGGGGCACAGTCTCGCGATACTTAGCGACCTGGTTGCACAACTGCTGTAGGACGATGAGTATGCGAGGTAGAGATGACTGTACCCATACTGGACGACGACGACAGGCATCCAACGACTCAAGGGTCTGCTGCTCCTCTGACGTCGTAGAATCAGGGTCTGTCGGGGGCTTAAACGAAGTGGTCGAGGCGTCGGGTGAGGTAGGGCTGGGTGGCTGCTCTTCGTAGGTGTACTTTTGAGGGCTCCGCAGCATCCATCCTTCGGGTGCCATGTAGCCACAGATGGCCAGGTCCAAGATGGCCTCAGTGAGGGAGAGGTTTGTGTCGACGGGGTTCACGAAAAAGGTCTCGAGGAGATCCAAAACCGAGTTGAGCAGCGGGTCGTCCGGGCGAAGCGTGTGCTCGTGCACGTCGTGTGGCGCCCCAGGCAGTGTATCAGGAACAGCAGGCAAATCATGATTGTTGGTGGATATCTTGGGTGCGACGAGCTTCAGGGAGCAGGGATGACTCTCCAGCCGGGACATGGTGTCCTTCAGAACGTTGTCATAGATTTCGTCAAAGTTGTCCTGCCCGCCAATGGACCCAGCCAAACTCATCAAATAATCCACCTCCTGCTCGTGGGCACCAACAGTCCGGTGCATTTTCGCTCCCAAGATCGCTTCAGTCCGGAGAAGCGTGCTGATAGCATACCGATGATGTCTCCGGAGAATAGCTGAAATCAGTTGGAGAGTCACGCGAATGGTCTGCTGGTTATGTGAGCGTAGACACGCCTGAGCAAGATCGACCAGATTGAAGAGCAAGGGAGTAGCCGTGATGTCGGATTTGGTTTGGGCAAGCATAGTCGCGAGATCCATGGATTTACGCTTGCGGGCCGCACTGATGGAGGCTCGGGAACCTGACATGTCTTCGGTGACATGGTCAGGTAAGCCGAGCAGATAATGAAGGATAAGGTTGATCATGTCAGGGTGGTCTAGGGATTCGAGGATTCGGCGGAGGTACGTCAAGACAGCTACGGACGAGCCTCCGTCGATATCGGACGACTCTAGTAAAGATGGGTATCTAGAGAATTAGTCGGTAAGTGCCATTGTAAATCGGCAAGTGGACTGTCTTACAAGAGTTGCTGGAGAAAAATGACCTGGAAATGCTCCAGAAGCGTCTGCTTCACCTCGACGGATTTGCAGTGGTCTAAGACATCCTGCCAGAACAGAAGATGAGAGAGGAAGGTCTCGAGGTGTAGTTGAAAATCGCCAGAGCATGAGCTGATGATCTCAAAGGTGGAGGCTGGGTGTTGGTAGTCGGAGAGAGCGAGGATGGGAGGCAGATCGTTGTTGGGATAGTCAATAACCAGCTTGCGACTCAGCTGACTGTAGAGCGCACCCAGGCCGGTGGCCATGAGAGTGGAGAGGTCGCTCTCGACGATCCATTGCTCAAGGGACTCGTCGCTTGATGCAGACTCGATGATGTATAGCAGACCTGTTCTGGCAAAGTCCCCAACCTTGCCCTCATGGTGAATGTAGTCCATCAGGATGTAAAATAACGGAAAGTCCTGTCTTTGCGTTCGGCCAGCAAATGCATCATGCCCGTCCTGGGGCTTGTCCTTGGGATTCCCATCGTGATGGCTCTTGAACCAGGCGTGTAGTATCTCTCGGTTGAGGCGGATCTTGGTGGTGATGTTAAAAGCCAACTCGACGACCTTGGCCTCGGTATCGGAGCCCAACCGCACACTGTTGACGCCGGTAATGCGCACCAGGAGGTTCGTCAAGCTGGCGGAGAAGGTTGTGTTTTCGACAAATGCCTCCTCTTCGGTTTCGAGCAGAGTTGCGAAGAAGAGCACAGCTTCTTTGATGATCCATTCATTGTAGGAGGTGGTGGCTATCTTGCCAATGGGTACGTAGACTTGTTTCTTGGCGGCATACTGGATGCACGGGTGAGGTAGCGGTCGTCGGGACTCGTCGTTGAGGATGTTTGTAAGTTCTTGGAGGCGGAGTTCGAGGTTCTCGGCGGCATCGACGTCGTTGGCGAGGTTGGAAGACGATCTCCAAATTTGCTGTCACGTGTTAAGACCAGGGCCTCGCCGGCAGCGCAGGGGAAGCTTCTCACGAGGATTCGGTTGTACTCTTTGTCGAAGCGATGTAGACGTTTCGTAGGGTTCTTTGCTTCTTCTTTGCGATGGGCCGCGGGGGACAGCGAGGTACCGGCTAGGAGGCGCGACCACTAGAATCTGGTCAGCGTTAAAGTTTCTTGTTGCCCAACCCCCAAGTCGAAAGGGAGGGGGGGTCGTCTAGGGTAACTCACAAAGTCCATGGTGTTGTCCCTGAAGGCATTTCCAGCAGGGCAGGAGAAGACGGCACTATTCGCGCATCAAGCTTGGTGGGAGAAAGTCGACTGGTGGTTCACGAAAGAGGAGCAGCAAGGAGGAGGCGATTGACGGCGGTGGCCAAGGTGAGACCAGGAGGTTTAGGGGAGGACTGGCGAGAAATGGAGACGGAGCTTCGGTGCATAAACTGTCAAGTGTCAGGCGTCGCGAAATGTCATTCCGAGACTTGACCGCGTCCGCTGGCTGCCCGTTAGTTGGAGACCGGTACGTATCCTCTCATGCAGCCCGCCGTGCCTGCCCACGTTGCGTTGCACAACCCGGGCCGACGCACGGACTCCAGGGACCTGGATAAGGTACCTCATGTGGCGGTTCACTTTACTATCTTATCTAATCTTCTGTGTGGCTGAGGGCTTGAGGATGCCTACCTGTACCTATCCCATTCACTCACCAGCTGGACGACCTCAGGCACCTCATTAGGACAGAGATTCGTTGGAAAGTACATCCCATTCTGAAATACTCAATCTCGCAACACAGGACATCATTTCTTGAACTGGTTATTTGACAGGATAGCTTGGCCACGTACAAACTTCTTTGCAAACCCAGTCACCAATCAATTGCTGTTCAAGCCTGAAAGAGCACTGTTTTGTCAGCTGACTTGACCAGAAGTAACACAGGCAGTGGAGTCACGACAACTCTGCCGCCTCTACACCCTGCAGTCGAATATCTTTGAGAAAATAAATCATCAGACACTACATGAATGGGATAAGACGACTATGCAAGAATTCACGTCGCCAGCGGCTGTTAATTTATCAAACGCCCATTTACGCCTCGCTGTCAGCGCCCTGGAGCTAGCACTGGGACATGCCCCCTGAAAATTGCTTTGTTTGGGCGTGCTTGAGGGACTAATAGTGGTTCGTGTAGTGCAGTTCGATCTTCGCATTCAGTTTTTCGACAATGCACTTACGTCTTGTCTTCCTCGTATCCGCCGCCTGCTAAGGATCATTACTGAGGAGAGGGGCTCTAACAGCAAGAATCAACTTGAGGCAATCGGTATGGTCACAGCTCAAACTCATACACTCCAGGAAACCATCACATGTCTGGCTGCGGCGGTAGAAAAGTCGGTTTGCCGTCGTGCCTTGCCGCGATTGAAGACCAGGAACCGCACGGCGGCTACATGTAATCGTCTTTGTCCACGGCCCAATGTAAAGGACGATGTGGTATCTGGTGAGCACATACAGCCGTGGTCCCTGTCCAGAATACAAAGGCTTGAGCAAGCAGGATTTCCGGTTAGGTCAAAGAGTGAACAGGGAAAAGTAAAGACGTCTAGGGTATCTGGAGTTGTGACGATCGAGGGTGAGGGTGTAAGTGAATGAAGCTAGATCACCCAAAGAAGGCTCACCATGTTGCTGCTCATGTCCTATGGTAAGAATGGAGTGGGCATTGAATTGATCTTCGGCGAACAATCTCACTTCAATATCAATCCATTCTCGTTTCCCAGAGAAATCTCTACTTAAGGACTGGAAGTATTTTGCCCCCCAAACATTCGGTCTTCTTCCTTCACCGTTCACTCGAGCTCCAAGCACATATTTAGTCATCAACCATCTCTTCTCGGTTCAAATTCGCAATCTCGGCAAGCCTCCCGATACAATCTAGCCTGGGTCTCCAAATTGATGCCTGTATTCGATCTAGCAGCAAATCAACCCTCGCCAAAGAAACAAACCAATCTCCACGATGTCGTCGATTCTTTCAGCGGGCATCACCGAAGAACTCAAAAGGCTATTCTGCACATCTTTCATCATAAATGACAGAAAACAGCATCTAGATGTTTTTGCGCCTTGCATGAGAACATCTTCGCGTCATTATGTCGAGTCACGAATGGCGCAAAACATGATCCAGAACCCTGCTGCACTGCCAGGATTGGAACCGCGGCGACTTCGTGCCATGTCTGTCGACGGTGGCAGCTTGAGTAATCTACTCAATCTTCAGTTTTGGCTTTCTACCATGCCACAACTCGCTCATAGTATCGAACAAGTGTGGTTCACGTTCGAGAAACTCGACGGAGAAATATCTGCGAAGGAGAAAGCGCACTTTGAACTACTTTGCACCAAGGCAGAAGTTACCAACGGTCAGCCTCGTAGGATCAACCACAGCCATATCTGGGAGTCGCCAATATACCCAGTAGAAGCTCAAATCAGTATAGCCATTGGTCATTTATTATTAGCCCTTCCGAGCGTCAAACAAGTCGGTTTTGACAAAAAGCTTTTCTTGAAGGTTATGGATGGGCCCAATTTTCAGTCACTACCGTTGATGCGAGCTCCCTCTCTCAATCTGGTAGAGGAATCCGAATCTCCGGTATCATTGTCATGGCAGACTATTCTCACGCTATGCCAACTACCAGTGGAGCACTTGTTGATCCACGGAAAGATCAACTTCGATGTCAATCGCACAAGAGGCCAAATCCAAGACCTGGACAACGTCAAAGATATCACTTTCGACGAGGTGATCATGGAGGGGAAAGGCACTGGGATCCCTCAGGCACCCAAGCTTGAGGCCGTCAGATATCTCAGCCCGCAGGCACAAGGGGGGAATGATGCCTTCTTCCAATTCAAGACTATTTTCGACTCTCTGACCCTTGACACATCATCTCTCAAGATGTTGTGTTTGAGCTTCCCAAATATGCCAGACTCTCGGGTACAATACGAGTTGTCGAGCATGTTGGAAAAACTGGAAAACTTGAAAGATTTATGGATTGATTTGAGATCGGGCAAACAAAAGAAGCCTGCCGATGGTCAAAATGAATTCCTGAAGTATGTTCAGTCGGAAGAATTCATTATGAAATTACCGAAATCCTTGATATATCTGTCATTGACGGGCGACTTCTCGGACATCGACTTCACTATCCATCTCGCGGCCAACAGCCTCAAAGACCTGAATGGGTTTGGCATCTCGGTTCCGGATCCTAATAGCATCTTTGCTTACAATAGGCTCAAACTAAAACATTCTCAGCGTCTCAATGTTTTTTCACATAAGTTTGGCGGGGCTCCGGTGGACACGAGTGCTTGGGATGAAATGAAAGGTTGGAAACTTACAAACCCGGCTTGGAAGTTGTCCTGATTCCATATCATCTTCCCCTATTCGCTTTCACCTACAAATTAAAACTTGGCACGAAATTGTAGCATCTACTAGCTATTAATTCGCTCCTTTGAACTTCACTTTCCAGCTCTTGTCTCTCTTTTTACCTATTTTCAATGAGTCTATCGTTGCTTCTATCCGTCCTGGTTCATTCCTAGAATGCAAGCCATCGGCGTTGCTTCGTTGTGGGAGATGGTGTGCGGTCATGACGGAGTGGACGTCCGATAGATAGTCTTTCTTCATATAACTACCTCAAAGACACAATTTGGAGATTTGGGGGAAAGTTCTGGCGGCCTTGCTGGCACTTTCCTCTGAAGACCTCGAGCAGTCAACGATTTTGATTCATAAAATACCAATCAACCACTTGCGTAAAACCAATGGTGCCGTGAATATCAACAAAATTACTCTGTCTCCTTACCTTTTGCGACAAGCTCTCTCTCTCTCTCTCTTAATCAGCTTCCTAGCCCAAGATTGTGCGGCTCAATCTGTTTCTTTCTCGAGAAATATATGCCTTGCAGTCTTCTGTGACTTGACCCAAAAGAAGAGAGCAATGGCTAACTGCCACAGCGTCCCCCTCTCCGGGTCCGTATGCAGTCGCTTCTTCAGCCCGGGGTCCTCAGCGACCATGCACGTCACTCGGCGCACATTTAGATAGAGTGCAGTTGTCTGTCAACCACCATATGCCGCGCCATAATCTTTAACGATCTCCTGGCAATAGGAATCAAACTGGACATTCCACTCTTGGATGCGCTGGCCCTTTATACCATTTCCTATTTCGCCAAGGTCGATCTCCAACTCCCATTGCTTGTCATCTTGGTCTTCAAAGTTAGACCACCTCAGGCTGTTCTGCGCAAGGGCACACTGTTACAATGAGTAAATAACGGAAATCCGTTCGAGCTTGTAGGAGCAAACGTACCAGTCCAGCGAGGCCAACATTATCAAACCCTTGTATGACCTGATAGAAATCGTAGCTCAGCCCGGCGGCGTCCTGTCCCAGCATTGCAGGATCATCGTTGCTGATAGCCGTCGTAACACCGTGCGCAATCATAGCTGGCAAGGGATGATGCAGGATATCCGTAGCCAGCTGAAGTACCTCGTTGGAAATGGGACACACCTCCACCATGATGTTGTTCTTCTTCACAGCATGGATCAATTCGGGATGCTTATAGAGCGAGAATCCGTGGCCAATTCTTCGTGTCCCCAGCAGAACAGCGTCGAAAAGATTGAGATCAGTAGAGTTACCATCGCCGAGGGTTTCTCCTGCGTGGAAGAAGAAGGGCATAGTGAGGTTTCTCTCCTTGGCCTCCTGCTGGAACCACAATAGCTCCGGCGCAAGATCGAGCAGCGTACGGCCCAGATCTTCTTGGGAAACTAGATCGTATCCGCTGAACAGCTCTGAAAAGTTGCCTTTGACCTCCAACGCACTTTTCATGCCTGTGCAGCAGAAATTAGCCGCTGCACTCTTCGTCTTCGGCAGATGCTTGACTCACTTGCAAGGATCTGGTCCGTCGGCCTAGATCGCTGGTCTGCCCAGATGACTCGAGCACCATAAAAGGGAGCTAGAGTAGCGTCCGTTTGTAAGGTGTCGTTATGCTGACCCTTGAAGTAGGCAAGCTCTTCCTCCATGAGACCCCACCATTTCCAACCGTTATTGTCATCTGATGTTGACGCCCCAGACTGTACTAGCTTGCCCGTTGAGCCCCCTGAACGGATCTCGACCCAGCTGATCCTGTCTCTCGCGAGTTCCTCAAAGAGATTCCTCCAGAACCTTCGAACGACGGGCTCGTAAGTCATCATAGTTCCTGCTGTGCCGAACAAGGGCTGGAAGCGACGCCAAATCTCGTCGACTCCCAATTCGTGCTGTATCGTTACGTCGGGAGCAAGCACTAACTTGCTCATGATGAATTCGCGGAACGCAGGCTCTCCCCCAGGGAACTGCTCGATGGTAGTTGTGACAGTCACAACCTGGCCTGTGTAGTTTGCGGAGGCGATGTTGGCCCACTGGCTGACGGCGGCGGAGTTTGGCGGCAAGAATGTAGGCTGAGATGAGATGCGGCCTTCCGCGGTGCCAATGGCCTTTGTGGTCTTGAACAGCATCCCTTTCTCGGAGATGACGGAAGAAAGCAAAGTGCTGTAAGGGAGCATGGCTGAGAGATGCGCATGAAGTAAAGCGCCTTTCGGCATACGTTGGACGACTTTCCACAACGTCGTGTTTGCGATCTTTGGGCGGGCCAAGGCGAACATCTCGCCGGCGAAGCTTCCATTGTTCAGATTCCAAACTGTCTTCATCTCCTTCTGGCGGATATTTTGGACGATTCTGTCTGCGTGGGCACAATCTGCAGACAGACTCTCTCTAAACTTGGCATCTGTTCCGCATCAATTAGTTACAGGTTCGTTGGCAGACACCGGCCTTGAGACGTACCTTGTCGCTCTGTCTTCTCCAGAGCAATCATGAGATCCCTCGCCCGATTGTGCTGGTCAATAATAAAACCTGTCTTCTGGAATTGAGCTCTTTCCTGGAGCTCATCTCTTTCCAGGAGGGGATGAGATGCCACCAGGGCAGAAAGAAGAAAAGCCGCGAGGAACCTTGAGAGGTTCATGATGAATTAAATATCACGAGGTAACCCCAGTGCTGCCTGCCGGAGGTGCGGTTGACGATGATGCGAGAATGCTATTAGCGGTCCCTCGGAGGCTATTTTATACATCTCCATTTTACTCTGAGACTTGAGGCTTGAGACAGATCATGGTCTCCTGGACTGCACACGGAATGACCCAGAGTCAACGGAAGCACCGTGTCACGGGTCGGCCTCGCCTTTTCTCAATAATCGTGCCATTGTCTGTAGCTCGCCTGCTTAGTGCAACTTCAATCTCCAGAGTCCGATCTGTCATGCAGAAGGCCGCTCATCTAGTGCAATGCTCCTTTGCAGCAATTTCCTTCCGTAGGCCCATCGCATTATGCTGTACGGAGTACAGAGTCTCACCCGCTCGATGCATATTTCAGCTGTGTCACTAATCCATAGTCCGCCTGAGACACTGCCAAAATTTGACAAGTCTCAGCCACTGAGTCGTTATTCGACCAACAATATCCCGACCCTAATTCATTTGCGGGGAACTTAAGACGCTTTCGTTGGGGGCTTGCGATTATCGAGCTGAGGCTCCCGCCTCTGCCACGCTTTATCGCGGCAAGGCACGCAGCTTGGTGTTAGTAGTAGACGTTTTAAGAAATAGAAACCACAAATCGCTGGCGGTTTAGGCATTCTCCAGACCACGCGCTGTCTTGCACTTGCGATACTTAGTTGGGGCTTCCGACTTGGTATTTTTCTCGTTCTTGTTCTTTCGGAGTTCTCAGTGTTCAGCTCAGCGGTGATTCGTCCTGGTTCGTAGCCGAGTCGCTCTGCGCCATCATCTTCCCAGTAGCAATACCAGGCAGTGCAGTAAGATTATGACATTAGGTTTGAAACTAGCATATGTTCCCAACAAAGTGCCCAAAGATTCAACACGTGGATATCTTATTTGAAGCAGACGATATGGTTCAGACTAGACACTAGACCGCCGAGTTCCGGATCCGGAGCGTGTACGATGATAATCGCTGGAAGCCTCCGTTTCTGAGCTAGTGTTTGAGACACACCGAACACGATGCCAGGGACTCACGTGGAACACTTGATTCACAATGCTTAATACTGTATTCGGACGACGTCTTGAGATGAGATGGGAATCCGGTTGCCTTGCTCAATAATATGCAAAAGCTTATCAAGAATCACATAGCCTCTGAATTACATCAGAGACCGGGTTATGTACTCAGACCTTTGGAGTAACTATGTTACAAATGTAATACGCCGGCGGGGAGGGGGGCTTTTCTCACGGCTTGACGGGTGACGGAAATAAGAATGAATCTTGATGAGACTTCAGGAGCGTTAGATTTTCGTGAACTAAGCTCATGTTACAGTGAACCAGACTCTGCACACACTCGACTCAGGCATGTGGTAGTAACTTGAACGAGTCTTTCCGATTGACTGAAGCCGCTCGGAGTGTTTGACTCTGACAGTCTCTTCGCCTCAACTCTCTAAGATTGATCGGCTGACTCGCATGATAATATTCCAAAACTTAGTGAGGTAAGGTGATTCCTCCGGTAGTACACGTATATATTATATCACGTAACAAGGATAGGGACTATAATCCATAAAGTACCTATTACGTACTATATTACGTATATTTTACTTATATTCTATATATAGACCTTTCTCTTTTATTTATTTCTATTTTAATAAATTAAGTTATTTTATTATACTCTATATACCTATTACTATATATTATAACTCGTAATAGTTATAAACCTAGCTCTTAATTTAGACCTTAAAATATAATAACGTATTTATTAATATAATTCTTATTATCTTTTTAAAATAATAGATATCTTTATATTAACTTTTAATTAAGCTAAGTTAACTAGTTATAATAATTAAATTAAATAGTTCTAAACTTTTTATTTTATAAATAAGGGCCTTAAAATTTAAAAGTATATTAATTTAAACGCTCTAAACTTTAATATACTCTTTACTCTTTTTATAATATTCTTTTTATTATTAAATTTTAAACTATTACTTTTAATTTATAATAAAAAAAAGTAACGAGCTTATAAAACTTATTATAAAGTATTTAAAAACGATTAATAAAAATAAAAGACCTTTCGTTTATAATTTCTAGCCCTAATTCCTAGTACGACCCCTTAAATATTTTTAAATATAAATAATTTATAAAATCTAACAAAAGTTCTTTTTATAAAATCAGCAATATTATTAACTTTATATAACTAAATTTATTTTTATATTATATTTATAAAGAAGATCTATATATTCGAAAGTATTTAAAAAGAATAGGAGCTCTTTATTAAATATTATTAAATTATAGTTCCTAAACGAAATAGTATTAATATATATATTAAACTCCTTTTTTAATAATTTAAAAAAGTCTATTACTATTACTCTTTATAAATATATATTTTAAAAAGTAATTTAGGACGGCGTTAAGTTTAAT